ATGCACTCCGCTTAGGAGCAATCTTGCCGAACATTATCCAGAATGATCAGGTAGGATTTGTTAAAGGGAGGCAAGGATCAGATAACACGAGGAAAGTGCTAAACATAGTACATTATCTCCGCAGAAAGACACAAGGGGGACTGTTGGTCTCCTTAGACGCAGAAAAGGCCTTTGATCGCCTACATTGGGGATTCCTGCGTGCAGTACTGCAAAAATTTGATATACCAGAGGGGTTCATAGCTGTAGTGGAAGCCCTGTATAGCTCCCCACGGGCTCAGGTGCTAAACTCAGGGTTCCTCTCGGAACCAATAACGTTATCAAACGGTACCAGACAGGGATGCCCCCTATCGCCGCTGTTGTATGTCCTGGCACTGGAACCCTTAGCTATGAAAATAAGGGACAATCCAAACATACACTGCGTTACGATCAATACACGCGAATATATCACCAGTCTCTTTGCGGATGACGTCCTACTGACACTTACTCAGCCGCAGATTTCCCTCCCCAACCTACTGAAAAAGATCACCACATATGGGCAACACTCATACTATAAGCTCAATGTTACAAAAACACAAGCCATGGGGGTGGGAATCCCGGCAGATATAATGGACCTTCTACAAAACTCATTTTCACTGTACTGGAGACGGGACCACATCACATTTCTTGGGATTAAACTTACAAAAAATCCAACAGACTTGCTTTCGGCAAATTATGACCCACTACTGAAAGGTATAGCAAACACACTGAAATACTGGGAGGGGAAGTTCCTGTCGTGGCTGGGTAGGATGGCCGCGGTCAAGATGGTAGTGTTACCAAAATTCCAATACTTAATAAGAACCTTACAAATACACATACCCAAAACCTACCTCGGAAAACTCCAAAAGATTTTCACAGGTTTCATATGGGCACACCGCAAAGTACGGGTGGCAGCTAAAGTGCTGTGCAGACCACAAGCGAACGGGGGGTTGGGAATGCCGGACGTTAAGCAATATTACAGAGCGGCCATCCTGGCTACTGTCATACAAACACACGCTAAAGAGGACACGCCACAGTGGGTGGAAATGGAGACCTATTGGGCTTGCCCACAGGGCCTGAGTTATCTGTTTTGGGTACCCCGAGAACAGAGAGAGGTACGCCAGGTAGTGCCGCCCACGACACGACTCCTACTTAACATATGGGACACCTCTAGGAAGCAATGGGGGCAGAACAAGGGGTGGGCGCTGGCAGCCCCACTATACTGCTTACACCTAGTAAACAAGGCCTTCGATTACCGCCCTTGGATAAGACAGGGCTGCACCAGGGTGGGCAACCTATACGAAAGTGGCAGGTTGTTAGACTTTCCAGACATACAACGCAAATACAAACTACTACACAACACCATTTTCCAATATCTCCAGCTGAAGTCCATGCTTCAAGGTTCCACAATTAGCACGGCACCGCCCATTGCAACACATATCGAACAACTGTGCAGAGATGCCAAACAACCCAAGAGGCTACTCTCTACCCTCTATAACATGTTGATCCAAACACAAGAAGACCCCTTAGAGGGGATCAAGGCAGCGTGGCAGAGAGATATAGGAACGACCTTCACTGACCACCAATGGGGGAAGGCATTCCTAGCACACAAAAAAAGAACGAACTGCGCCGCTCACTTAGAGCAGATGCGCAAAATCCAATATCGCTGGTACATGGTGCCGGAGAGATTGGCACAAATTTATCCAAATGCCTCAGGGACATGTTGGAGATGTCAGGAAAGCAAGGGTACGATGTACCATGTATGGTGGGAATGCCCCATTATAACCAAATACTGGGAGGAAGTGGAGTCAATCACAAATCTAGCGCTGGACAGGGAGTTCACCATAACACCAGAGAGCGGACTTCTGCTCATGGGACTAGACACGCTTAACAAAACAGATTTCCGCATTCTATTTCACATCTTAATTGCAGCAAACACATTCATAGCCAGGGCATGGAAACAGACTCAGGCACCCACTAGGGAGGCTCTAATCAGGCAGATAACCACTAATCTGCTCTATGAACGGGGACTGTACAGACAAAACCCTACAAACAAATATGCTAATCTGGCATATGCGAATTGGACAATGCGCATGGAGAAGGAAGGGGAGCAAATCACGTAGAGAGGAAAAAAAAATTAAATAAAAATAAATTCTCGGAGAGGGACAACCCAGTAGGTCGTAGAACAAAATAGGCTCTAACAGGGGCCAAGCCACACGGAACGGTGCAATTAGAAACCCACATGTATATAGTTATAGTTGGTACTAGTTTACAGTTTACTTCAAGGGGCGCTATACAGGCCTGTAACAGACATCACGTACAGACTCAAAAAAGCCCATACGGATTAGCAACACGGGGAACGGACAACAAGGCGAAGATAGGCCAAAGAATGGGAGGGCATTGTCAGGGCTGGGGTGGTGGGAGGAGTGCGCATTGGTTGTCACATGATGGCAAGAATCATGGCATGGAATGTCGCTTGCCAAAAGCTATTCCGAGTCCCTTGCACAGGTCCCTTTGTCCTCCCCCTCCCCTCCTGCACCCCTCCCTCCTGATTGCTAGCAGGGAATCGTATCCCTGCGGGTTAAGGGCCAACGAACAAAGGGGAAAAACTAAATAAATGAATAAAATACAATATAGATATACACATAAGTGGAGGAGTGAAGGTGCCAGTGTAAATGTCATGGAATGTCTAATGTGTTGATATCACTGTACACCAGTGTGAACTTTTCCCCCTAACCCTTTTTGTCTTCTGTATCCCTTGACAACAAAAACTCAATAAAAATTGTCAAATTGAAAAAAAAAAAAAAAAAGTAAAAGCTTAAGTAGGGCTATATAGTCCTTTAAAATCCTTTAAAATCGCCAAAACGCGTTTCGCCTGGTACAACAGGCTTCCTCAGTCGGCTTAATTGTCCCCTGCTTAGTCTTTTCAATTTTAAAAAGTCCGCTTGTTTTCACTTCCGGGTTCCGGTTTCTGCCTCTATGGAACACAATTATGTGTTCCAGTGACGTCGCTTCCGGTTTCGTCACTTCCGGTTCCTTTTTTCCGTCAATATGGAACACATTAGTTCCTCTTACATCACTTCCGCATTTCGGTCTCGATCAATTGGAACGCATAATGCGTTCCACTGACGTCATCTCTCGGCATCTCTGTTATTTTCAAACAAACTGCATAATCTTCAACAAATTTACATGTTTATCATCAATTCTATTTGTATATCAATACTGGAAATCTATTTTGCATATGTATACATATCTATTAATGAACTCTATATATACATTTAAAGTTTCTGCTTTATATACTGTAAAAGTGTCATACAAAAATAATTAACCATATAAATAATGCAACCTTTTGAAGTACTTATACAATATACAAGACATTTTGCCTAAAAGTGTTCTTATAAGAAGAGAATAATGTAGATGTTTCAAAATACTCTTACATTGTGTAAGTGATGTAAACTTTAAAGTGATCTTGTACCTTAACGTGCTCTTTAAAGTGCTCTTATGGTGTTTTTTAAAAATAGTGTTCAAGTATATGCCATTTCAAAAACTAAAAAACAGTTTTAAAAATGATGTCCTTCCTTAAAATGTTTATACTTGAAACTGTTAAAATATATTTAAAAATACTATATAATGGACGGGAATTCTATTCTCTTGAAGGTACTAAAATATTAAAAAATACTCAATAATATAGGGGAGCTTAGTTCATGAAATGACATAGTTCAAAGTCTTGGTTTAGACCATGAGGTGCCATAGTGTTAAAGCTAAAAATGAATCTCATTTCTTCTATTCCTATTTTTCTAATATAATCTCCTCCTCTCCAGTCTTTTTTAACCAATTTTACTGCACAAAAGAACAATCCTTCAGGGTCTTGGTTATGGAATATTTTGAAATGGTTGGAGACACTATGTGACTCCAATCCATTTTTTATATTCCTCGTATGTTCTGCTATTCTCGTATTTAGACATCTAATGGTTCTTCCTACATAAAAGGAGATTACACTGACACTTCAGGACATAAATAACTCCTTTGGAATAGCAGGTTAAGTGATCTCGACTTTGAAACTTTTGGTTTATCCACGGTTTCATATCCATTATGTGGCGTTTCCTGCTTTTAGTGTTTCTGCATGCTAAGCACTGGCCACAACCATAAAAACGTTTATTTTGCTTTAAGAAATTTTTTTCAA